TTATAATTTTATTATAACCCTATTACATAATATAAAATATAGAATATTTATACGGATAGGTGTGAAATATTAATGCTTGTTTTCTTGCGTTTTACAACTTTCACCTTTCGAGTCTTTCTTTTTGATACGATAAGCTTTTATTGTTGATTTCGTTTGCATTTGCTAAGCATCTTCCAGGAAATACACCCTGTAATTGCCTAGCTCGTGCCTATTTAAGTTGTACCCTCTCCTTAGTTGGCTCATCAACTCCTCGCATCAGAAATTAAACCTGCTCCTACTTCTAATAATTTGCTTTGCTCCGCCCAAGTTGGTTATCAGTGTCCAACTTTACCTATTTCTTCTGCTAATCCTGCATGTAAGCACTATCTATCCATATCTTCAAGATTCTGTTTATTTTTTGTTGATATATATCTCAGTGTTTCTTATGGAGTAATTCATGACTATATTGTTCGATTTAGTTTACGTTTTCTTCGTTTCTTTTCAGATTCTCATTTTAATTGATCCTCCATTTGACGTCTTTGTCTTCTTTTTTAATTTTTTATTTTTTTATGGTCACTAATCACTTCAAATAAATTAATATAGAAGTATTTGTCTCCTATTTAATGATCATATTTGAATCACGATTTTCTTTCAGGAAATATCCTGGAACCTTTTTTATAAGAAAGAGTAGGCTTGCGATTGCAATCAAGCAGATCTGCTGGATGCTCCGTTCTAATTTTCTGGGCTTAATTTGTTTCTTAATATCTAATTTCTTCAAAACCCTCTTCTAGACCTACGGGTACGCAATTCCGTCAATTATGTTCGCTTTGAAGTGTATCGTAAAAAAGCATGTAACTTTTTATATCCAAAAACAATAAATAATTTTCTTAGATCTAATAGTCTCATGCCCGAGATTTTTACTCGTTGTTTTTGGAATTATTACTTTGAAAACTTTGTTCTACCTAAATTGAATTAACTAAAACATTTTTTTAATAGAAATTTCATTTAAATGGCATATATAGTTTTAAGATAGTCTTTCGTTAAAATTTTTTTTTCTCATCAGATTCTCATTTTTAATTTTTATTTTTAAGGATTCCTCATTGTACTACTGTTTGATTTTCCCTAATTAATTTGTGGCTGCCTAATTGATAATCTTGTGACGTCTCCCTTTTTTTAAGGCACTTCAAGTAAATTAATATAAAAGCGTATGCCTTGTAGTGAGAATCATGTTTTTTCTTTCAGAAAATATTCATCGTTCGACCTAAAGAATAGGCTTGCAATTGCAATCAAGAAGATCTGCTGTTTGGTACATCTAATCTGCGTGGCCCAATTTTTTTTTGTGTCAAATTTCTTGAATACCTTCTTTTTCTAGACCTGCAGGTACACAATTCATCTGTTATTTATTTATTTATTTATTTATTTAAAGATATAAAATAAAAGTAAAAATATTTTTTAAGCATTGACTGCAAAAATATACATATATATATGTTGTTTATGTATTGAAATTATCAAAACACCATTACTGAAACTCTATTTCATGTTAATTCATTGATAATGTTTTACTAGTGTAGCTCATACTGAAAAAAAAAAGGGTTAAATTCATCAAATGAAAAGGTATAAAATATAAATACAAGTGCGGCCTGAGATGCAAATAATTAGCGCATCTCAACATCTAGACAGAGGTTCTCTATCCTAACTCATCAACTATTAACAAATATTTCATCATCTCAAAACAAAAGACATTTTTTATTTAAAATTTATGTAAAATAGTAGTTATTTTTAATATATTTTTAAAAAATATTTTTTTCTTATTATAACTATGTAACTTAGATTTTTTTTCATTAAAAAAAATTATTATTAAATTAATTAAGTCATTGGCTATTATCTCTTAATTTTAATTATTCATTTTATAAAAAAAAAGTCCTGCAACACATATTTAATAAGTAAAACTTTTATGATTTTATTATCCAAGGAACTTAACTTTTAATTTTTTTAATTAAGGGGTTAAAACTTTTCAAATTTACTATAAAAGGAATTATTGGACGAGGATATTAACGTGGCTTAACGAACACAGTTAATGGGGCCGATCACTTTGCTGACATGGATAAAATCTCTAAAAATATGCTGAGATGGACAACCCAAGGCAAAATAAAAGTTGACGTGGATAATAGCAATTTTGAAGAAAAAAATCAAAATATGTCTACTATTATAAGAAAGAAGAGTAATATGCTTATACTTTTTTTATATTCAAAGAAATAAATAAATTTCCTATACTCTAAAATTATTTTTTTTTTAATTTTGAATTTTTTTAGTTTAATTGTTTTTTTTTTAGGGTGAATAAATAATTTTTTACTACTTAATTCTATCATTATTCATTTATCTTAATTAATCAATCTATCATGATGTCTCTTTTTATTTAATTTTTTTATTTCTTTTAGTTGTAATATAAGAAAACCCATGAATTGTCTCCAAATATTAAATTTAAAGAAAAAAGACTAGAAAGTATAGTTATTTTGAAAAAAAAATGTAATTATTACACAGAGTGTTTTACAAAACTTATAAATATTTGTTTTAAAAGTAAAATTATTTTTTCATAGATTTAAAAATTTATTGAAAGTAAAATTAAAAATTGACTTTTAAAATAGTTTTTAAGTAAGTTTTTTTTAAAACAAATTAGATGTGTAGCTTTTTAAATACCCAAATTAACCAAATTATAATGAAAAATTTAATCTATAGCAATTTTGGTTAAATTCTGAATACCAACTCAAATTAAATTGGATGTTTTCGATTAATTAGAACTAATTCTTTCTAAATAAAAAAGGGGTTCAATTAAATAAGAGGTATTTGATTAACTGAACTTGTCCATTAACCTGGCATTTTAGTTTGGTTAACCGAACCAAACATCCACTCCTAGCCATTATAGGTAAGTGGGTTGGTATACCCAATGTTTTAACCATGGTAAAATACCCCAGCCCCCTACCCCAAATTAAAATTTTTGCCAATAGAAAAACGGAGACACTGGACTTGGATGCTATATTTTCATAATGGAAAATAATTTAAAGATTATTTTTTATATAATTTTATATATTATTTAATAATTTATTTTTTATTTAAAAATTAACTTATAATTTAATATAAACTTATCCATTCAATAACATATAAAAATTATATAAAAAATTATATGAAAATATTGTCACCATATTATTATCCTCTCATATATTGTTATTAAGTACTGTGCTTAGACTTTTTACACATGAAGAAATAAATAATTTTCTTAGATGTAATTACAATTTACAATAGTATAATGTGACAAAATTTTATTATTATTATTTTTTGAATTATTTACTTTAAACTTACCAATTGCATTAATAGAACTTGTATTGTAGATTTAAACAAAAGGGAAATGGTACATACATATGTATCAGAGTGTAGGTATCGGGTTGCATTAACCCGATAAACATGGAAGTACTAAACTAGAGAAACTGGTATAAACGATGCGTATAAGAGTAAAAAGCAATCATTTAAAACTTGGCTAGATAACTGATCAATTTTGGCCACTGGGTTCGTTTCAATCAATTGAGTTGGTTAAATTGGTATGTTCAACTGGTTGACTTAATAATTATTATTAGATTAATTTTATTAATGATAAAATTATTTTTATCTTAATTGATTTTACTTTTAAAATTGATTAAAATTATCTTCATATTCATTTATCAAAGTAATTATTAATTGTAAAGACTTTATTTTCAAAATTCATTAAATTTTCATGATTAATTTTAAATTTATTTCAATCATTAAATTTAGGGTTTTTCTAACCTTTACCTAAGGGCAGAAGATTAGAAAAACCTTAAATTTATTAAAATATCTAATATATTTTTCCTTTAGTAACCACCTACATCATCGATATCTTATTAAAATATTGTAAAATTATTTTTTTGTTGATTTTATTTTTAAAATTATGTGAGATTCGTGCTAATTTTAAATTGATTTAATTTATTTATTTAAATAAAATAATTATTTATTTTATTTCCAAAATTGAATTAATTTAATTTCAAATTAACTGCCTTTTAAAATTGGCTCAAATTACATTTTAATTAATTTAAAATTTTCATTCATTAGTAGTATTTTGACTTTAAATAGAATTTAAAATTTAATTATTAAATTATTTATCAAATAAATAGATAAAAGATCAAAGGAAAATGAAAAGTATGAAAATGTAAAAGAAAAAAAAAAGAAAAAAAGAATGAGAAAAACGAACCAGTTTGGATTGACCAGATTTTATTAGATTTGACCAAGTTTAATTGGGTTTGGCTGAATCTCACTAGGGGTTGACCACACCAAAATTTGACAACTATTAGGTTAATATCTTAAGTCAGATTATTTTTTTTTATAGGAAATTGATTTAGAAATAATTTTTTTATATTATTTTTTTATACAACTTTACTTATCATTAAAATAATTAATTATTTTTATTTAAATAATACATGTATTATTAAATGCATCTATTTATTTAATTACATTTAAAAATCTTATAAAAAATTAATACAAAAAAGTTATTTCCATATCATTGTCCATTTTTTACATCAGTCTTGTCAAACCAGTTAATCTGACTTATTTGGTCTAAATTTTAAAACAAGTGGTAAAAACCATCTCAAACACAACACTACAAATATTCATCCCCTTAATTGAAAATGAAAAATCTCTTAAACCTAGTCTAGTGAGATAATTGCTCTCAACTTATGTGGGAGCAGCAAGCTAACCAGATATTACTTGAAACCTTTGATCCACTCTAAATTTAGCTCTCTTTTTTTTGGTTTATTTATGCTTTGAATTTTGTTTACCAATCAGCAATTGGCATTTAAAGTATCGGCTAGAAGTTCCTTTTGCGCCTTTTTTCTTTCATCTCTTATAGCATTACTTTGGATTTCTAACCCCCTAAAATAGCTTTTATTATTTGTTGACCAGGTTTCCTGCACCATCTGAGGAAGATCTATATCCAAATATTAATTATGTCCTTCAATTGGCTTTCTCGTTGACTCGAGGCAGAAGTAATCTGTTCTCCTCAGTTGGCTAATTAAGCTCCTCTCATAAGAAAAAATCAAGCTGTTGCTACTTCTAATTTGCTCGGCTTTGTTCTGGTATCAGTTTCCAACTTCATTCAATTTCTTTCTGCTAAACCTGCCCCAGGTACACAGTACACTAGCTATGTTTGAACTTTCAATCTTGATTTTGATATATACGTTCGATCTCATTAGAGTTTGTGTAAATAAATTGAAAATATCTAATAGTTTTCATGTAGATCCATGGGTTTAATTATTACAAAAGAGAAAAGAAGCTTCATTCCATTTTTTTTTTCCTTTTTAATGATATGAAACTTCATTTCTTGTTAGATTTCTCTTCACAAATATATACAGCACCTTTCACAACTCTTCTAATTAAAAATATAATATTTTTTCATTATCAATTATACTATCATCTTTCAAAAGTTTATAATCAAATGATATTTATAACTTTACAAAAAAACAATTAAGTGGATCGATGTACATGATTATACTCTTTATTAAAAATTTTTAAAAAGTAATAACCCTAATTAATGCCATCACAAATATCATATTTTTAATTAAAAATTTTTAAAAGAAGTGATGATTTTAATTATTAAAGAAGAAAAGTCACATCATTTATTAAAATTTTGTTGAAAAATTAAGTCCTTATTTTTATGTTTGTAATTCTTGATTTATATTAAAGTACGTTGTGCATAAGTAATTATTGTTTGTTACATTTTTTTTTTATTCCGTATAAGAAATAAATTTAACGGCATTACTATTACATTTTAGGAAATTCATCGATGGCCAAAATGATGGACAAAATGATGGACAAAATGGTTGAGACAGTTGAGAATTTTGTTGACCACCATAGAAAACTTGAAGAAGATCTGAATGAGTTGAGAAGCGAATGGCAGGTTCTAAAGAGGAGAAAAATTGACGTTAATTCAAGAATACAAGTAGAGGTAGAGGTTCAGTCGGGCCAAGTGATGAAAGAAGAAGTAAAGGGATGGCTTGAAGATGTTCAAAAGATCGAACAAGAAATACAAGATGTTGAAGAAAGAGTAGGCACAGTTCCATACTACAAACGTGCCAGTCTTGATAAACTTGTGTGTGAAAAAATTGAAGTGGTGAAGAGGATTCAAGAGAGGGGCATTTTCGAAGGAGGCCTTGGGATTAAGAGAGCTCCAGCTTGTGGAATGGTAATTCCAACAGAAAATTTAGAGGGTGAAATTTCTACTAAAGATGAAATTTGGGAGCACTTGATGGGCAATAAAGTTGGAATGATTGGGGTTTGTGGTATTGGTGGAGTTGGTAAGACTACAATCATGAAGCATGTTAACAATGATTTGTTGAGGGAGATTAGGTTTCAAAAAGTGATTTGGGTTACTGTATCATATCCTCTTAATGTTTTTGAATTACAAAAGAAGATTGCTGGTGCTATGGGTGAAAGACTTCCAGAAGATGAAGAAGTGATGATGAGAGCCGCAGCACTAATGGATAAAATGAGAAGAGTAAAATTTGTGCTAATATTAGATGATGTATGGGAAAAGTTCTCTCTTAAGGATGTTGGAATCCCAGAACCAACTGTGCAGAATGGGTGCAAAATAGTTATCACTAGTAGATCAATTGAAGTATGCAAGTTTTTGGATTGTCAGATTGTTGAAGTGCAGTCTCTTTCACAAGAGGAGTCTCTAACTTTATTCCTCAATAAGGTTGGGCATGATGTTTTACAAATTTCTGGGCTGGAAAAAATCTTGAAGCTTATTGTGAAGGAGTGTGCTGGTTTACCACTCGCTATTGTTGTGATAGCAGGGAGCATGAAAGGAGTGGATGAAATTGAGGTGTGGAGAAATGCACTGACTGAATTACAAGAATGTGTTGAGAGTGTGAGAGGTTCAGATGATGAGATATTTATGCGGTTAAAATTTAGTTTTGATCGTTTGCCTAATGAGAAAATCAAGAATTGTTTTCTTTATTGCTCCTTGTTTCGTGAAGACTATTCATTTGAAAGGGAGGAATTGATAGAAGGTTGGATTGATGAAGGACTAATGGACGGATTGAGTAGTAGGAAAGCAGCTTATGACAGGGGCCATGCCTTTTTAGATATGCTTGAAAAGAATAGCTTGTTAGAGAAACATCAGGGGGAAGTAAGGGAAAGGGAAGTAAGAAAGATGCATGATGTTGTGAGAGATATGGCTATCAAAAGCATTGGTCGGAGAGTTGGACATATGGTCAAAGCTGGTATAAAACTGACAGAGATACCAAATGAGCATGAGTGGGCAATTGATCTCAACAAAGTGTCTCTAATGGACAATGACATTTTAGAAATTCCTGTTGGTTTCACTCCAAAGTGTCTAACCTTGTCGACTTTGATATTGTCAGACAATCCTTTGACAGAGATTCCAGAATCTTTTTTTGAGGGTATGAGTGGACTCAAGGTTCTTGATCTTTCTAGAACCAATATTGAAACTTTACCTAGTTCTATCTCTAAGTTGAAGTATCTCTCTGCACTGCAGTTGAGGGGGTGTGAGGAGTTAAAGAGCTTGCCTTCCTTAGAAAAGCTTGTGGCATTGAAGAAGTTGGATCTGAGATGGGCAGGAATTGAGGTGGTCCCTCAAGGCATGGAGATGTTGGTATGTCTTGAATATCTTGATTTATGTTGTGAACATTTGGAAGAGATACCAATGGGAATATTGTCTAAATTATCTAGTCTCCAGTACTTGGTAGTAGGAAATGGTTGGGTAAATGGTTGGGTAAAGATAAATTTAGAAGAGGTTGCTAGATTGAGAAAGTTGGAGATTTTAGAATGTGATTTTGATGACTTGCAAGGCTTCAATGATCTTCTAAGGGAGTTTAATAATTTTCGGAGTTTTATTACTTTCCAGCTTGTAGTGGGCACAGCAATGTATTATCATGATATTGACAATCCTAAATATAAATGCCGACTTAAAATTTGTGGGTGTGACATTGGAGAAAAAGGTGTAGTGCTTCCGGATAAACTTCAGCATTTGCGGATCCATAAATGTAAAAGCATTGGAAGTAGCTTAGACAAAATAGCTTTGTTAGAAAATGCAACCAAGTTGGGTGTTTGTATAATTAGTAATTGTGAAGAGACACAGTACGTGGTTGAGTTGGATTCATCCTCCTCCTCATCGTGTAAACCAGTACTTGATAAGCTTGAAGGTCTGTATCTTTGGGGTTTGCCTAGGTTGTGGGCACTCGTGAGAGTGGAAGGAGTAACAACACCGCCACGCGTCTTTTCCAATCTTAAGACACTTGATGTAATTGGCTGTTCAGGAATGAGGAAGTTGGTTCCACTTGAGCTACTGCAAGCCCTCCAAAACTTAGAGATGATTACTGTTCATAATTGTGAACAAATGGAGGAGATAATAGCCTCATCAGATTTAAATGCATCATCATCAAATAAATTCCCTTTCACTTTTCCTAAATTAAGGGAATTGTGCTTGTGGTCCTTACCCCAATTGAAGAGCATCTGCAGTGCCAAAGGAGTTATGATTTGTGATTCCATTGAATGTATTTCCATAACGAAATGTCCTGAATTAAAGAGGATCCCTGTGCAGCTTCCCCTACTTGATAACGGCCAACCATCTCCTCCTCGTCGTCTCAAAAGCATCCACATTTTTCGAGATTCAAAAGAATGGTGGGAATCAGTGGTGGAGTGGGATCATCCTAACGCTAAGAACATACTCCAACCTTTCGTGAGCTATTCATGGTAAGGTGTTGATTGATTTATTCTAATATGAATTTGATAGTTTAGTTGCTCAAAATTTCTGTCATCTCATCTCAAAATTTGATTTCAAAATTTCTTGAAATCTTCAATTTTGTTCAGATTACAATAGAGCAGCAGATGTGTGAAAGTAATAAGTCACGTGCAACCCCAAAAACACATGGCAGTAAAAGCCTTTCCTCTACAACACACAATGGACGGAAGAGCCGATGTTGGAGAGGAGGTATTCTGGAAGAGATGAGATTGAGATGCATCCACCCTCTGCTCTCATGTCTCATCAACTCCAACTATGTAAGTTGTGATTTTACTATTCTCACATTGATTTTTCTTTAGAATTTTGCTGTTTTCGAGTTCGCGATTTCGCTCTTTTACTCTCTTCCTTGGTTTTTGGGTTATGTGTGGCGGAAATTGGGCCCTTTTTTATCATTGAGTAAAATAGTTTCAACAAAGCATCTTGTTAACGAAATGAGAATTGTGTTTATCATCCTAAAAATTTAGAAAAAGATGATCAACTAATAAAATTGGGGTTGGAACATTAATATTTCTTTTTTTTTCTCTTTTTTTTTTTTGTATATTTATGATTATACTCAGATTTCTCAACATCTTGCAAACTAGTTTGATACTATGGAATCAAATTGCATCACTCACTATGTCTTCAATTCCTATAGTTTTTCTTAGAATCGATTTGTTGGTCTCTAGTTTCTAGATTCAGACATATTTTAAAGCTCTGATATTGCATGTAGGATCTTTTATCAAGCAAAGGCAACTTCTCTTGGTGGAGCAGCAAAGCAAAAGAAAAATGAGACTCAGCCAGGGCTAATAGTCCTTGATCTGATTGACAATAATCTTGTTTTTGTTTCAATTTATGTGTCTTTTACTTATTGGATGGACTTGGTTTAGTGCTGATTTCATTTGGTAATTTGTTTTGTGTTGTAATTAAGTTGTTAAGCATGTTGTGTTATGGAATTTCTGCTCTGTTTGATTGATATAACGTGGCTCTGTTATCAATTTGAGATGTAATTTTTGTAATATCTTTCGTCTTTGATATATTGTTATAATTTCAAATTCTCTTTGCTTTGCCGACTTGAGCATTGAATTGGAGAACACTCTGGCAGCCCTTCATCGTTGGCCTTGTTCCACTGGCAGGTTTTTCTCCCTACCTAGAAAACCATATTTATTTTATTTCATTTTCTTTATATCATTGGCAATCCTAGATTCTTTTTGGTTGCTAAGAAGGAAATAATTTTTGTAGTTTGAAGTGAACGGTAAAGGGAGTTCAGTTTAGGAATCACCAAAACAGAAAAGGCAGGGCATGGTGGAAAATTACAGCTTTAAAATAATTGCTCAACTCTCATGAATTCCTAGTAAGTATATTTTGACTTGTTTACTACATTTCATTCTCTTCATTTTTTCTTTTGCCTGTTCCTTACAGTTTTGTTTGTTGGTTACTTGATGGTAATTGTATTTAGTTGGCCAAAATTTTCAAAAAGTTAAACAGAATGGTGGGTAATAAGATTGGTTAATATATGTGGTTGAAACACTATTTTCTTTTATTAGTCCATTTCACTTTCTTCATTTTTACTTTCTTCATTGTGGGTTTTACTGCATTTTTGTGATCTATACATTTTCCTTATAAATCGGTTTCTAGGTATGGCTTGAATTAAGCACCTTTTGATAGCTGAGTCAATTAGCTCAAACTCAGAAGTCTCCATTTCCTTTGGGTTTTGGTTGCTTCACTGCCTAAGTTGTTTCTTACATACACATTTCTGGAGTGCTTCCAATAGTTAACCTTTTCTTTCTATGGAGCTACATTTTATGCTCTTAACTAACATTTTTCTTCTTGCTTTCATTTTACTTGTTGCAGATGCATGGATTTATGCTCATGAAGCAGTTGAAGATGGGGAACTTGGTGATGATGCTGATGATGTTAATTTTAATGATGAAGAGAGATTCTAATGGTAAAGCTAGTAGTAAAAAGGGGGTAGTTTTCGATTTGTTGAGCGAAGAAAAGTATGAAGATGCCATCAAATTTTCTTTCTATGAACCTACCAAAAATTGTTATGGAAAGAAACTTCGGTTGACAGCAGAGAAGCACAAATAGTGAAAGGTCTTTTCTACTAAGAATGAAAATCATATATATATATGTATATTAATGATATGATTCTAATCACTGATCAATGATTGTGAATTTGTAGAACCCTTCAATGCCTTCACCTCTTCCTCCTGAACCAATTGCTCTCAACTATGGTTGTGATGCAAATCATGATATCCGTCTTGCTACAGTTACTAAACCCACTAAGGTAAGTGTATTTACCTTAGTCCATCTCCATGCATGCTACTTTCCTCTTGTTCTATGAAACTGAGCGGTGATTATGGTCTTCTGATTTAGAATGTTCAAATTATCTTAGCAATTGCAGAGGAAAGGTAGGGAGATTGGCCATGGAAGTTGAATTTAACCAGCAGTAAGAGGTATATCAAGGAGATTGAATTGACACATGTAGACTTCTATAATTTTCACTCATGTTTTCTTTGGGACATGCAGCACAGGAAGTGAAGCAAAATAGAGGCTTTAGCAAGAGGTAACTTGCATTTGATGTTATGTTTTGTTGATTACTCATCATATCCACGTAGTGGCCTGTTTCTGTTGCCTTTGATGGTCTATTAGCCTTTCATTCATGCCATGACAGTCTAGAATTTTTTACTTTTTGTTTTGCAGATTGGCCACCATTTGCCTCAGTTGTTCATAATGATATATTGATTTATCTAGAAAAGTTGATGTATATTGCCTTTTCATCATTCTGAGGTATACAAGCTTTTTCATTTTCAGTATATTATATTTATTGACTGAATACATTCAATTTGCATACATCATGTTACACATGATGTTACCCTTAGCAGTGTCTATATTGATATATGTTATGAATGGTAAATGTATATTTCTTCCTTATGCAGGATTGGTTCTGTGCTTTTTCTGGAATCAAAGGGGAAGGATGGAAGCCAGGCGGTAATGAGACTGCTTCTGTGAATACCTATCCAATCCAAGAAGCATCATACTAGGGAATTGGATCTAGTCTTGCCATCATGGAGATGGTTACTCTTGACAGGGAACAGAGATCTTATCTTGAAAATTTTGCTGATTGTGTTCATTGATGCTTACTTACCGGGACCAACTGATACTTAGAATGATATTTTGTATGCATATTTGTTGAACGGTTGTGAATATATTTGTGATCTGAAGCTCTTTCTATCAAGGTACTGATAAAACAAAGAATGAGTCTTCATTTCCAGATTAGTTTACCGCTAAGCATTTCGCAAATCAACTATCTTCTGATGAGTAAAAAAATATTAGGCTCCCAACCAACCAAATCTGCTGCTCCTTATAATTTACTTGGCCTAGTTAAGTTGGTTAATTAGTGTCCAACTTCCTTCAATTTTTTTCTTCAAAAACCTAAAGGTACATTATCTTCAAACTTGGTTTTTTTAAATTAGTTCTCTTTAAAGTATATATAAACACAATGAAAATATCAAAGTTTTTCTTGTAAATGCATGACCTTACCAGTAAAAAAACGCATTCATTCTTTACTAAATTTATTCATTTTTGAGTGCTTGAAGTTCAAGTCCATATATAGAAGAACATATCTCCAAGTCACGAAATATATTTGACTCGCACCTGTTTTTCTTGTTAAATATTTTTATTTAATTAAAA